GATAACACCATTTCTTGTCTTCGTTTAACCCCTTTTGCTGAGCGGAAACGCGAAGGGCAACGGAAATATCGGGGGACTACAAAGACACCTCTGTTGCCCGTGGGAGGATGCAAAGCGCGGATGCTTTTAGTATAATGGTTTTATTGTGGTTCCAGTCTCTGGCCGCGCGTCGTCCTCGTGCTGGAAACGGCAAGAGCAGTCAGCTCGTGACCTCCCCGTCGTAGGAGGGTTGCAAATCCAGCTCATCTGATCGGCGAACTTAGGGCATCGTCGAGAGCTTGGCGCTTGTGAAGAGAGCAAAAGAGAAAAAAGCCCAAAAAACAAAGGGCAACGCTTTCGTTTCCTGCCCTGACTTTCTTCCAGGGTCGCAGAACACGGCGAGCTCGTGCTGTGCTTTCCAAAATCGCTTCGGGAATCTGATCTTCTCGAAGACTTCGTTGCTAGGAAGAGAGAGCAGAAATTTAAGCAAAAAAAAACAACAAACAAAACCCCAGATCGAGGGAGCAGAGGTTGGTTTCTCCCTTTAAGGATCTGTTCAGGTCAAGTCACAACAATCCCAAGTTTGGATTAATTTAATTAAACTCTGTCAAGAGCTCCCCAAAGGGGCTGTCTCCTTATCTCTGCATCTTCCCTACTCATCTGAGGGGACCAAAATGTTTCACATTGAAACTCGAAGGGGGAAAACGATGTTTCGAAACATTCCCAGCTTCCAAGCCCGGGCTGCTTTCTGTCTTATCTTCTGGCAGTCCAATACTTCAGCTATTTTCTTTTTTTTGTCTTTTTTTCACTCTCTCTTGGTTTATATTTTGGAGTTGTCGAGCTCAGGTTGGAAGCCAGGTGAAGGGAATTTGGAATTATCTCCAAATCCTCTGAGGGGCAAACCCAACTCTCTTTCCACCGGGCGAAACCATCTCGGTTTGACACCTCACCTCCAGCTGCGGCCGGATCTTAGTGCTCGAGAGGGAAACAAAAAAAATCCCTGAATAATTTAACAACGGGGTTGGATCTTTTCACTCGTAACAGCCTGGAGTTTGTTGTTGGGAGTGTTTTAGAGATAATTAACTACAAATGTTACCAGCTGTGAAATCATTAGCTCATCTTAAAATCAAGTCGTCAGGGGGATTTTTTTGTTTATTTTCTTAATATTCTAGTTGCAGGGAATGTGCACAAATCCATGAGGTGGTGTTTTTTGTTTTCTTTTTCTGTTTTTTTTTCTTTTTAAACCTCCTCTTCTGGTTTATAAATCGCATCTTTGCCTTTCAGTGGGTGTACAACATCCTGGAGAAGAAAGCTGAGGCCGATCGCATCGTCCACGAAAACCCCGATCCTCGTGACGGCTTTGTTCTGGTTCCAGATTTTAAGTGGAATCAAAACCAGGTTCGTTTGGTTTGGGTTTCCTTTCTATTTGCTCCTCTGCTGTTGGCAGAAACGCCGCGTGCCCGGAGGTAACGCCGGAGGGAAACGTCCTGATCCAGCCCCAGCGTTGTCCTGGCGTGGCCGAACCTAAATCCAGCCGCGTGTTTGTTCCCGAACTTGTTTTTTTTTCTCTTTAACCCTCAACTTTAGGCATAAACTGGGCAGATTAATCATCCTGCTGTTAACTCCTCGGTCGATATTGTTGGCTCACGAGCAGCTGATTAACCCCCGGAGGGAGCGGCTGCTCATTGAAACACGGAGGTTTTTAAGCCCAGGCTCTGATCCTGAATCGAGTGGCTTTGTTATTTCCTCTTTCTTGCTTCTGTGCTGGGCTTCTGGGGAGGTGAAACGCTGCCTGCACTCCCCTCGAAGTTGAGGGACTCAAAAAAAAAAGTCCCCTTTGAGTTTCTGATCCTCAAAATCCTTCCATGGATGGCGTAAATCCTCGCTCACCCGTAACCTCGACGCCCCACTGCTGCGTCAGCTCCTACTGCCTGACCTTGGTAACGCTTTGGGTTGATTTTTCAGTTGGGTTTTTTAAATTATTATTATTTTATTCCTTTTTTTGATGTGGGATTTCTTTTCCCACTTCTACCGAGTTGGTTTCAAACCCACGGGAGCCCCGAGGTGTCGCCTGAAACGATGCCCGGCGTGACGTCTTGTGGGGCCTTTTTAGCAACAAGACTGAGTTTGTTTCAAACAGCAACGTGCAGATGTTATTCTAAGGAGAAGAGCTGTTTGCTTTTCCGCCCGTCGATCCAAAGAGAACGAGCTGATACGCCGTCTTTTTTTTCCCGGAGCCGTGCACAACCCTCTCTGGGAATCAAAACCATCAGCTCTCGAGTATCTCAGCTGAAGAGGATGGGGATTTTTACCTTTTATTTAAAAAGCGTAACGATCCACAACCTTACGTCTTGTTAAAATAGCAAATTTGCTGAAGAGGTGCTAAAGGTCTGGCTGAGGAGCTGTCGAACAGATGGATTTTACAGCGCTGGGTGCATCCAGTGAACGGTTAGGTTTTGAAAATAGTTATTTGTAGACTGGAAAAAAGGTGGGGAAAAATAATTTCTGCGTCTCACGCTCGGATTTCCTTCAGGTCGCACGATGGGCGCTGGCTTTTGAGATGTTCCGAGCGTGACGGCGTTTAGATGGGCCCATCCTCTTTGAAAGTGAAGGGGATATTTATGATCCTGCTCTTTCAATGAGCTAAAAAAACCCCAAATTGTGCAGAAACGATGCTTGAAGGTGCCTCTTTTTGGCTGCTCGTGCCTCTGCGGTCACCGTCCTTCCGATCCCTGTCTCCGCAGCTCGATGACCTCTACCTCATCGCCCTCGCCCATCGCCGCGACGTCAAGTGTCTTCGGGACCTCACCGGCGAGCACCTCCCGCTGCTGAGGAACATCGCGCGGGAAGGGACAGTAAGTGTGAGGCTGCCCTGCCCTGATTTCACCGCCCGACTGCTGGGGGGTTCAAGGTCTTTCGGGGCTGCTTGATATTTCTCCGTTAGCGGGAGCTGCAGGAGTTGAGCCCTGTCCTTCCCCGAGTCGATACCTTCCAACCCCCTGAGTGTTTTCACCGCAGGCTCGCGGCAGCTTCTTCTCTTCAGAAATTGGGAAAGTGATCGGGGCGAG